CCCCGAGCGCGCTCCGGGTACCCGGCCTGTGGCCGCGCTGGCGTCAGGGAGCCCTGCTCCAGAGAAGGCTGCTGTCAGCCCGGGGCTGGTAAAGATGGACGTGGCACCCCATCTTTCCGGAGGCTTGTGCTCCGCTCCCCTCTCTAACCCTCCCCCTTCCCCTTTTATCCCACACCCGATCCCGCAAATCCTGTAGGTTCCACCTTCAAAATACACCCAGACTGCGCACAATTTTGAACACGCCTCCGGTACCGCGCTAATCCCAACCAGCACTGTCTCTCTGAGGTCTCTGCAGCTGCCGCGGCCGCCTCAACACAGCGGGCAGGTGACCTTGTGTGAGGACAGCTCCTGTCTCTCCTCCCCTCGGAACCCTCCGCTACCCTGCTGTCTCATTCAGAGTATAAGCCACCGCCCTTACGATGACCTCCAGGCCCCAGTGCCCTTCCCTGCCCCACCCACCCGCCTCCTCACAGACCGTAGGTCTAGCTCACCTTCTCCCTCCGGCTTCAGCTGCTCTGACCTCCTGCGGTCCATCAAGCTGACCAGGAGGGCTTCTGCCTCAGGGCCTTTGCATGCACTGCTCTCTGTGTGAACCCTTCTTCCTACAGATACGTGTGTGTTCAACGCCTCACCTCCTAATGCTTACGAAAACTTTATCTTGAAGACATTCTGTTTAAAAAACGGGACCCCCTGCAACCACCCTCAGGCCTCATTCTCTGTATACCGTCCTGTTGTGTTTTTCTCCATCTAACATTTCATCACTGTCTAGGACACTATATATTTTGCTCGTTTATTCTGTTGGCTGCCTTTCTCATTGCTCTGTTCCTAGGTCAGGGCTTAGTGCTTAGTGCTTCACCTCCTACCCACTGAATGAATATATAATAGATAGGCAGTGTTTGGTTTTGTTGTTTTGTTTTCCTTTGCTTTTTATTAAAAAGGAGGAAAGTACTTTAAAGGTAAAATTGTTCTACAACCAGGTGATGTGGAAAACAAAGGCAGAAGGAAATGCAGATAAAATTAAATGTCCTTATAACCTGTAGCCCATTGACAAATACTTGAGGCAGGTAGAATGTCAGATTCCTCCAGGAAGCTCCCAACTGTCCTAATGTTAATAATGCCTTGCTAGAGGGAAAAAACACCCTTGGTTTGACGATAGCCAGGCCTCCTATATCCTGTGAGTCTTCTTTAGCTGATGAAAGTTCTTCTGGAAACTTCCTTATCTTTACTTCCCCCAACCCCATAGTATATAATCAGTTGCTCCTCGGAATCTTGGGGCGGCCGCTCTTTCTTTTTTTTAAAGATTTTATTTATTTATTTGAGAGAGAGAGAGAGAGAGAAACAGCATGAGAGGGGAAAGGGTCAGAGGGAGAAGCAGGCTCCCCGCTGAGCAGGGAGCCCGATGCGGGACTCGATCCCAGGACTCCGGGATCATGACCTGAGCCGAAGGCAGTCGCTTAACCAACTGAGCCACCCAGGCGCCCGCGGCCTCTCTTTCTGCCCATGGGTTCTGTCCCAAGCTTTAGTAAAACCACCATTCTGCCCCCAAGACGTCTCAAGAATTTTTTTTGGCCGTGGGCTCCGAACCAACCACCAACACTACTCCAAAAACTACATCAAAGGCACCTAGAAACACTCCCAAGTTACTTTGCAAACCCCGACGAAAGCAACCACATTTTTTCCCTTATATTTTCATTGCAGAAAGTCCCAGAATTGCTCAGTTTCCATCTTTTTTAAAAGGAAGCTACATATTTTTCTTGGCCTTGGGAACGTTTCATCTAGCAACTGGAAAAAGGATTAGCCTGTTAGGCCAGTGGTTTAAATCCAGGCAGAATAAACATCGTCCTTGGCAGGTAAGTAGCTCCTTAAACAGACTCATCCCAACATCTGCCTCCTTCCTCCATATGGCCTCCTGAACAGGAATAAGGCAATTGAGAGTTTAAAGGCATTTTTTAGGAGTGGTTGAAATTTGATACGGAGACTTTCTCCTGGTTGAATTTAGTTGTTCAAAATGCTGGACAATTTAAATTTTTTTACAGACTCGCTGAGTGAATTGTATGTGCCAGGCACTGGCCTAGGTGCTGGGACCTAGCAAACCTGCAGGTCCCTCCCCTGCAAACCTGCTCTGAGAGCAGCAGTTTTTCCAGGGGCGACAACATTAAGTTAATGCAATGTATTTAAATACACATGAACTGAGCACAGATCGTGGCCTAGTTCCAGGAACTCGGGAGACACCGGAGAACAAAACCCAAAGACCCTCATGGGTTCAAAGCCCCAAGTTCAGTGAATGATGGGGGGAGCCAAGAAAGGCGTGCTGAGCTGGGTGGGATACAAACTTCGTTTAAAACATGCTCCCTGTCCCTAGGGAATTTTAAAATTACTTCAGGAGATAATGAAATAACAGTGAATATAATGAGCTGGTTAGAAGTGCCAGGGCCTTAACTGCATGGGAGGGCTGGGAGGGTGGGGGACATTCACCAGAGGGGGGCCTGGAGGAGGGGCCTGCCCACACGGCTGGGGGTCTAGGGGGCTGCCCAGGTGAGGCAAACCCAGAGGGTGTGGCATAGCTGGTCACCAGGTGTTTGCAGGACACAGCTTCTGGTCTCACCAGGATGTTGAACTCATCCAT